CCAACTACCCACCTGTGAAGTGCATGGGAACTCCCTATGTACTTCTCGGCCTGCCTCCTGACTGCAGGGCGAGGCAGTCCAGGAGGCTGCTCTTGTGAATGCCGAAGGGAGTCAGGGGCTGCCGTTGCAGCTCCTGCTTGAGGCTGTCGTGGGAACAGGCCAGAAATAGCCTGTTCCAAAAACCCTGGTTTTGTGCCGGAGTGTTAGGGTAGGTCGATCTTATGAGAGCCCGAAAGTGGCCCTTCGTTTTAGGCTGAAAAGCCTTAGGGCTGAAAAACCCTGTTTTAGGCCGAAACGACATACGACTTGCAGGCCCTCATTTTCAGCCTTTCAGGCTGAAACGACACGGGGCCTATAAGCCCTTATTTCTAGGCTTTTTGGCTGAGAATGCGGGACAGGCCCCGCCCCAACAGTATCAATCATCAATCAAAGTTACTGCCACGGAGCCGCGCGCGCTGGAAATCTGTACGTAGCAAGGAAAATAGCGCACGCACGCTCGACGATTGCGCGCGATTGAGCGCGCGCTCTAAGCTGAAAATTGGACCACCGGTGGTCTATGTCGAGGAGCTGAGATGATGGCGAGATGATGATGATGATGATGATGATGACAATGATGATGATGGCAACCGTCGATGATGTTGATGATGATGATGATGGCAACCGCCGATGATGATGATGATGATGATGATGATGATGACGATGATGATGAAACCGAAGCTGGTGATGAAGATGCCCTCTTACGAGCTGATGATAAAGCTGTCGCTGACGAACATGCTGATGAAGAAGCCCACTTACTAACTGATGTTGTCCCAAGAAGATGACGCAAAACCTTTCTTAAAACAAACGCACTGGATACGAGCTGAGAACCTGAATATCACTTCCCTCCTTATCTCCCTTCATTCGTCCTCCCATCTCATGGGACACACTGTACTCTCCTCCCTCTTGTTGCGAGCCGACCTCCTCCACCAAATTATGCAAGATGAAGAGTACCAATGATTCTTCCTGAAGCAAGCCTCGTAAGAAAAACTTGCTCCCCCTTACACGGCATGCTAGCCCGTAGCATTCCTCGTGACAGGCACAAGACAGCGAGATGGCACTACAAATGCTTTCAAATGTTAGGAGATAGAGAGGTGAAGTATTCACCCCCTCGATCATCTCACAGCTTCGCCCAGAATACCACGTTTGTTGAAGATCCAGCCCTTGCGCCACTCAACAATTCCACACTCGAATTTCATAGTGCGCCCTAAATCTTCGATATCTCATGATCCACTCGACCATTTGATCTGAAATTTCATCAACATCATCATCAGCAGCAGCAGCAACAGCGGCACTACTGACATTATCATCATCGTTATGAGCATCTTCATTGGTGCGTCATCATCATCATCATCATCATCATCATCATCATCATCACCATTATAAGCATCATCATCATTGGTGCGTCATCATCATCATCATCATCATCATCATCATCATCATCATCATCCTCATCATTATGAGCATCATCATCATTGGTGCGTCATCATCATCATCATCATCATCATCATCATCATCATGAACATCAACATCTTATTTATTTTATTAATAGGGAAGGTATTTTTTAAATACCTAGATTTCTTATTAATGTACGTTTCGGTATGGTATTTTTGAATACCAACATTCTAATTAATTTTAGATTAATTTTTCCTTGTTTACTTCTTCATATTTCATAGTTCTTTATGAATGAGATTTTCATAATCCTATTGCATTATTAACTAATTATCTTCAACTCAAAAAAAAAAAGAATCGTTTCAGTAGTAATTTCGTTGGTGATCTTGCTAAGTTATGTTTCAATCATATGGGAGTTCACTTTCCTCCCTGGATGGATGATGACGGTTGTTTCGAAGTTCGTGGTACGAATGGAAAGGTGGGGAGAGCAGTACTCTACAGGGGTGTCACAAGGAGGGAGGTGGCGCTCTGAAGAGGGTGTGTGCAGAAGTTGAGGGTTGCTCTATCCTGGGGTTGGGGTGGATAGCCTCAGCGGGGGGAGAATAGGGTAAGGGGTTTGCAGGGGCATTCTTCTGGTGGGAGCTGAATGTCTTTTGGATTATAGCGAGGAAGAGAGGGGTTGTTCCAAGTTGGGGCTGAAAAGGAGGTCCTACATTGGAGGACTGTTTTCGGCGGAGGCAACAAAGGGACAGAGGGGTAATGAGTAGAGGAGGGAGGGGAGGAGACTTTCAAAGTTTAAATTAACGTATCTTTATTCACAAAAAAAAAGACAAAATTCCACAGTCTTCATTGATGTTATATCAAGCTTTTTGGTGTTCGGTAATTCTTGGCGGCATCTGGCCTTCTTCCTCATTCGGAATATAGGATTTCAGAGATGGTCGAATCTGGACTGATTTCCGCAGAGTTGCTCTCTCCTTACCTCTGTTTTGTCGATGCCAGAACGACGTTGGTCGGAGCTGGGGTGTTGCCCTGTAATCTGCAAATTGCAGGAGGGTGAGGCCTTGTAGAGAGATCTGGGTTTTGCTGAGGGAGGAAAGCAATTCAGTGGCGAACTGGGGGGGGCTGCCTTGACAACCTATGGGTCCAGGGATAGTCTAGGTGGCAAGAACATGTCAACTATGGTTGACATTGGTTAGGATGGCATTGTCTTTGAGATGTAATGCCCTGGTACAGGGAGGGTTAGGAGTTGTTATAGGATTAGGAGGCTAGAATTGCTGATATAGCAGTCTTCTATAATTTTACATACTAATCATCATCATCATCATCATTATTTTCATCATTAAAAAAAAAAAAAAAATCATAATCAGCATACTCATCATCATCATCATCATCATCATCATCATCGTCATCATCATCATCGTCATCACATCACCAATATCATCATCTGATTATTGTTATATTAAGCTTTTTGGTGTTCTGAAATTTTGGCAGCATCTAGCATTCTTCCACATCCGGGATATAGGACTTCAGGGATGGTTGAACCTAGACTGATATCTACTGAGTTGCTCTGTTCTGTGCCCTTGGTTTACCGATGCCAGAACGACGCTGGCCGGAGCTGGGGCGTTGCCCTGTAACCTGTAAATGGCAGGAGTGTGAGGCCTTGTAGAGAGATTTGGGGCTTGCTGAGGGTGGAAGGCATTCTGGTGGTGAACCGGGGGGGGCTGCAAGGAGGCGAGAAAAAATCAACTATGGTTGATGTTGGTTAGGTTGGTTTTGTCTCTGAGGTACAGTCTCCTGGTACAGGAAGGGCTAAGAGTTGTACTAGGATTACTAGGCCAGAATAACTGATATACCATAATCTTCGATATTTTTTCATATATTTGAATCATCATTCTCATTAGCATCATTATCATCATGGTGGTCATC